TTTTTACGAAAAATCACAGATTATAAAATTTGGGTGATTGGCTAATTGATGTAAATCAAACGTGATTATTGACTAATCAAATTAATTAAAACTCTTTTAGTATACAAAATACGTAAAGATATATTTATTATTAATAAAAACAAAGAATTTTAATATTAAAGTAATTTTATTCTATTTTTTAACCATTAGGTTTTACTGAAAACATGCTCGTTATATCTAACATATTATTACACCATAATTTATATTATATACTGTAATTAAATTGCTCCATGTATTTATTATACTATGAGATAGTTTTCTTTTTTGTCTAATATATAATACATATATATGTCTTAGTTTGGTAAAATAAAATTTTAAAACGTTTATATTGCTTAGCCTGTTTAATAAATATATAAAGTTTTATATTAGTATAATGCTCACAGCTTAACAATTTATAAATCTATTGTTTTGGCTTCATAATTTTAACATAGTAGAAACTCAATAAACACTGCCAATAACCAAACAGCCTATCTTTGTTCTTATGAAAACTTAATAGAAAAAGTGATTGAAAACGATTAGAAAAGATTTTCTGCTAGAAACACTTAAAACGAAGAAATTTTACTTATTAATGAAAGCACTTTGAGTTTAACTTATTATAGTTAAATGGATGGTGAAATTGTCAGTTTTTAGACTACAACCATATATCAAATTTTTAATTGTATATATAAATAGTTTGTGTAACAATTAATTTGGAATCTATCAGATACGAGTTTCTGCTATACTTTTTGTTACACAAAGCTGATCTGCATGTTATACTTGATTTTAAATTTTAATTAGTTAAAATGTGCGTATCTATTTACCCATCAAGATGTTAGATGAATATCCAATGATCTACCCTACTCGGCCAATTAAAATTAATCACGCGAATATGCAGATAAAATTTAACTTTAAAAAAAAATTGCATACATATATACGTATGAATTTAGTTGTATATACACATATTCGCTTTTGCACTTGTACTATTCACTACGTATTAATTTAATAATTTTAGTGCTTAATGTATCGAAAATATATTGTATAAAAGAATTTTTAATTTATTATTTATTTAATAGACCAGTTAATAGAACAGTTCTTAATTAAAACACAAGACGAAAGGTAAAAATTCGCTTTCATAAAAAAACTATAATATCTTATACTCTTATACTACATAATCATATTATATAGCGATATCGCAATTAGATTAGTTGGTTGTAGTGGTTCTAAACTAAGATCGGTGATTATAAATAAGTTTGTTTTTTTTAAATACTTTACTAATTAACTTTACTAATTATCTTTGTTGTGTTTTAATAGAATAATTAGTTCCACTTAACTCAGAGCCAGAGATAGAACAATTATCATATAATGCTATTTTAGTTTTTCTTTTAATATCTGAACTCACAATTGCCTCTAAATCAGCACTAGTTATTTGATTTCTGTCTGTCTAATTATGTCAGTTCCAAACTTTTCGAATTGCACTTACCCAATCTTCAAAAGAAACATCATCAGCAATATTTATAGGTTCAGATTCTTCTGCTTGTTGAAAGAATGATATTTCAGGTGCTGGTGCAGAATAGAATTTTTGGCATACAGCAAATATATGTTTGTATACAATTCTGTGAAACTTAAAGTCTGGATATGTGTATTCTAAATGCACAGGTTTTATGTTAATGTTTTCTTGTATATCATCCTTAATATTAATCTCATAATTATTATCATTATTTGTAGATGACTTTACAAGATAACATCGTCCACTAGGCATCACAAAACTTTCTAAGTCTAACCCTGCAAGTTCTCGATGCTGTTGTTCTTTTTGGCGAGACTTCATTCTTCCAATCATCAGATTGATAGCTTGACACTCAAATTCTGCATCTGTTAGGGCAGCTCGTAAAATCCAAATTAAAGTGTCAATTCGATGATTTTGTTTGGCACTTAGATATATATATTTAAGTTTTTTGTACCATGCTTTAACAAAATTAGTGGTATTTATTTCTTGATGCTTATATAATTTATAGGCATCAACCCACTTTTTATAGTTTTTATAATATTCATTTTTTATATACTAATTCATCTAATTCAGCCCAATGAGAAAAATATTCATTAAATTTTTGTTGTACTTACAAGGTATCACAATATCGAATAATAGCACTAAGCTCTTCTAAAGCAGCTTTCTGTGCTACTTGCTTCTTTGTTTGTTTATGTGTTTCATCATTGCGCACTTTGAAATAATCACCATTAGCTTTAATTTTACTCTTATTTTTTTGCTAGGCATGTTTTAAATGCTATTAACAAAGCAAAATTTTTGTATTAGGAAAAACTCGACTTATAGCATTTTGCTATGCATCGTCACAGTCTGTTAAAAAGGTATAAGGCGCCCAATTTGTATTCTGATTTCTTATACTTGTAAGCCAAAAAATTAATGTTTCAGCTGCTTTTTTTTCTGAAATTAAATGCGCTACAGGAACACCTTGCCCACCAACATCATCTCGTATGATTATGGTAAAAGGATTTGTTTTATGCACTGTTGTGCTGTGTGTACTATCTAAACACACAGTTTGAGCACTTTTATTTTTTAATATTTTCTTTTGAAATTCTATTTGGAACCTGTATAGATAATCTAAATCCGAGCCCCAAGTTAAATTACTACAGATATGTGATCCATCTTCTTGAGACAACACAATCTATTCATTAATAGATATATTTTCACCATAACCTTGATCCTTATTACCAAAAAAGATTACATCTTTTATTTTTTCATGAACTATATTATATACATTAATATAGGACAAATATGCGTCTCGTCTTTGGATTAAAGGTAAAGAGTTTAAGTTATCATTATCACATAATCTATTAACACGTTGGTGGAATATTGACACAATTTGTACAGGTTTTAACCCATCTTTGGCTCTTTCTTTAATTCATTTTCTTGCTTGTTGAGATAAGCGAATATTTTTTAGGTCTTCATCAGTTCCGGAAGAATGCCCATTATGAAGAACATAATACTTAATATGAACCAAATTACTCTCTTTATTACGATGTTTCAACACTTTTAAGTAGGATTTACATTCTACTTTTTTAGAAGGCTTTTGAATTGGACGAGAATTATTATGGCCTGATGAAGATGCTATAGTTTAATTAAGTTTAGGTTTAGCTTTTGGTTTTCTAGCACAATAACACAGATAAGTATCATTTAGCTTATAATCTTTATTATCTTGTCTAAGTTGCTGAATGTAATGGGCTCCTGAAATGTTAGGAAGGTCATTTTTGATCCATTCCTTATAATTACTCAAATCAAGATGAGTATATATTTTAATATAATCATTTTGGTCACTTTCATTTTCACAATCAATTGTATTTTCATACTTGATTTTATTTTCAGAATCGATTTCATTTTCATAATTGATTTCATCGATTATATCTATGTAGTCAAATTTGCTAGACATGGGTAATAATTTTTTTTTTTTTTTAAATAGAACTAATTTTAATAAATGCGAAAAACTTAGGCTAATAATAAATTTCAGTGTATAAGGAATTACAAAGAACTTAGACGAATGATAATATGAAGAGTCCATCACAATCGCCTCTTTTATAAGTTTTGGATATTATGAGTAAAGAGTATTTTTAAGTTATTTTTTTAATTTGTATCCTTTTTATTTTCATGAATTTGGCATGCATTTACAATATTTATAGGCTTATAATTAATCAATATACACATTTTGTTAAAATTTATATTTAATGTACAAAAATGTATAACGAATGTAAATTTGTAATAGAAAGATCATCTATAAAATAGAATAAAAAAATACTAGTTTTGTGAAAAAAAATGTAAAGAATTAAATAAATATAAAAATAGATTAATTATTATATATATATTAAATAACAATAAGTGGAATTTTAATTTAATAAATTATTTAATAAATTGTTAACTGCATATCGCATATTGCATACTGCATTACTTTTGAATTTTCAATTGCATTATGTTATTCGATTTAGAAGCACTAAATGCATAAATTTTAATTTTTTGGCGAAGTTCTAGATAGCATCACAAATTATAAATGATGCTACAAATCAGAAATAAGTTTAATATCATTCAAAACGATACAAAATACATAACATCACGAATAAAAAATAATACCTAGAATTATTAGATTTTTACTTTTATTTGTAAATCGTACGTATAATTAAAGGAACTAATACATTTTCTTAAAAAGGTACAGTATGTAATCTTCAGATTCAAAATTTTATTTGAATCGTTGCACCACTTTTGTAACTTTAAAAATATTATTTTGAAAAATTTCTTGATAAATGCAGAATATAAACGAAGATGAAACAAGCTTCTGATTCAATTAAAATAAATTTCACATAACTAGCAAACTTCAAGAATGAGTTCATATAGGTCATTTATTAAGTGTAAAAAACTTTCAAGAATTCACAGTTTGTAAAAAATAAAAAAAAAGGTTTATCGAAGTTCAGCTTAATTGCGTGATTTTTTTTAAAATGGTTTAAAATTTTCTTAAGTTTAACTAATTATATCTCCATATCTACTTGACCAAATTCGACGAAATTTTTTTTTATTTAATTTTACAGATACGTAAAATTAAAATAAAAAAATTTTTACCGAATTTGATTGTGTAAACATTAAGATACAAGCAGTTAAAGTTTTAAAAAAGTAAAAATGTTAGGCGATCTATATAACGAAATTACCCATGAGCGATTTTAATTGGCCGAGTAGGGTAGATCATCGGATATTCATCTAACATCTTGATGGGTAAATAGATATACGCGTTAAAATGCCCTAGCACTACAGAAAACCCTTAAAAAAATAAATTGAAAAATTAAATTGAAAAATTAAAAAATAAATTGAGGTGGTTAGGGTAAGAGGTTAGTTTTAAGATAAAGTTTATAATATACAAGCATACAGTAAGTGGGTTTTAGAAGGTTAAATAGAAACTCTCAATCCGATTTCATTATGATCCGCGTTGTATATGGCATACTTTGTGGTTAGGCGGCGTCCATAATTTACGTTAAACTAGTACTGTATTGTATAGAAATAGATTATACCATCTGGTATTATTTTTGTATTATCTTTAAGATTTCCATAACAATACCGGTTTAACGTAAATTATGGACGCCGCCTTACATCAAAGTGCTTTAAAACATGTTTGTTCTTCAAAACTATAGAATGCAAAAATTCAAAAAAAACAAATTTAATATACTGTACATATACAGATATATATTTATTGGCCGATTATTTATTGAGTATAGGTATACAATATTGGGCAAAAATTGTCGAATAATATATATTTATGAGGTAATTTTATGCTTATCGTTATATAATAATTATAAAGCAAAAGAAAGAAAGAATTAATTAATTGCCATACATATAAACTGTACTATATAACTTGAATCGTCAATAAGATGACGGTTAAACGAGCGTATTTATACATTATTGTCTAATTATGGATGAGATGGCATGGCTATAGTGCTTCAAAATTAATCTATCTGTCATTATTACATTATTAACAGCTGAGGTTATAATTATAACTGCAAATATTAAACTACATACATCATATAAAATTCAAGAGGTAATATTTAGGAATTATGAATTAATTGGAGCATTGATTTATAAAATAGATTCAATAATCTATAATTGACACCCATGTAAATTACGTATGACGATACCAGAATATTGTCAAATTTGTCAATTGTGATTATACAGAGGTAATTTCGTTACAATCCCCAGATTTTCATGGGATTATTTTCAAAACGAGATTGTGATAAAGTTGCTATTCAACGTTTTTCGTAATAATGACCGAAACAGCCTTAGAGACCGAAAAACTTTACAGTATTTTATCCAAAAATGCTGGTATGCTGTTGTTTATTAGAATTCACTTAAGCAAGCTTGAACTTTGAAGAGAATAGTGACTTATATATGTTTAGGTGACGACGAAAACCTAATCCGAGAACAAGAGCAAGCTCTTATTAAACTTGGTGAACTTTATCGTGATCAAAGGTTAGTCTTACTTTTATCCCTCTTTACTGGATGCTTTTATAAGAATAATTTATCATATAATTATTTTCTATTAGGAAGCCCCATGAATTATCAAACTTGATTCGTTCTTCACGATCTTTTATGGCATCCATTTCAAGGGCCAAAACTGCAAAAATTGGTATTCTATGATAGTTTTTTTTTGCGAAATTGTTATCAACCATATAAAATATTCAAATTCGGCGATCATTTTTACCAAAATTTCAGTAAAGACACTGATTGATCTTTTCGCTGAAATTCCCGAGACATTACCGCTTCAAATTGAAATCTGTAAAGAAACAATTGATTGGAGCGTGCAGGAGAAGCGAATTTTTTTAAAACAATCATTGGAAACTCGACTAGTTGCTTTGTATGTATTTTTTATATATGTTATTTGTGAATTAGTACTAATTTCTTAAATTTAATACTTTATATACTGCTTTAGATATCTTGACAATAAAATGTATCATGATGCTTTGACCCTTATTAATTCCCTTTTAAAAGAACTAAGACGGCTAGATGATAAAATGGTTTTAGTTGAAGTTCAGCTATTAGAAAGTAGAGTTTGTCATGCATTACGGAACGTACCAAAATCTAGGGTAAAAATCTATAATTTTTTAAAATCTTTAAAAAAAGATATATATAATAAATCTTTAACTAACTACTTTATATCCTTATTTATTTATTTATTTTGTAATTCACAATATTTTAATATATTTTAAAGGCTGCTTTGACGTCCGCCAGAACGTCTGCTAACGCCATTTATTGTCCACCTCTTCTCCAAGCTGCTCTTGATATGCAATCTGGAATTTTACATGCTGAAGATAAAGATTACAAGACAGCGTACGTCATCTATTTAATTAATGTTAATTTGTGATGTAAGCATAATGGTAAACTTTTCATTCATATTTCACAGTTATTCGTATTTTTACGAAACTCTTGAAGGATATTCATCTCAAGATGACCCTAGAGCTATCCTGGCTCTTAAGTACATGTTACTTTGTAAAATTATGTTGAATTTGGTATGTAATCATTATCAAATTTAAATTTAAATTATTCACAACTTTACAATGCTTTTAATTAATATATTTTGTGGTTAATAGTCTGAAGATGTATATTCAATTATTAATGGTAAACTTGCATTACGCTACGCGGGGCGTGAAGTTGAAGCAATGAAGGCTGTTGCAACGGCGCATCAAAATCGTTCACTTAATGAGTTTGAAACTGCACTAAAAACTTATAGTGACGGTATAATATGGTTCTTTAATTTTGAAAGTTCTGTCAATTTGTTATTTTTCAAAATTGGTTAATACGAAATTTTTTTACGTTTGTTTGACAAAGAGTTGGAAAATGATCCGATTATCCGATCTCACCTCGCTGCTCTTTATGACACTTTACTTGAACAAAATTTGGTTCGCATAATAGAACCATTCTCAAGAGTTGAAATTTCGCATGTTGCTGAAATAGTAAAATTACCTACTAGTCATGTCGAAACGAAATTATCTCAAATGATTTTAGATAAAGTATTTCATGGAATTTTGGATCAGGGTGCAGGATGTTTAATCGTATTTGATGAACCACCTCAAGATGTACTGTGTTGTCTTTATATTCCTTATAAGCCATTTATCTGTTTAAATAATATTAATCAATATCATTTTTTTTTTCATTTAGAAAACATATGAAGCAGCATTAGAAACTCTTAAACAGATGGGGAATGTGGTGGAATCGTTATATGAGAAAGTGAGTCTTTAATAAATCTTTTATGTGCAAATTTGTATTTCTGTTATTTCTGGTTTAATTTAACCCTTTTTTTTGTTTCGTAGGCTGCAAAATTATCTTAGAATTATCTTAGACATTTTGTTTTATTTCAAAAATTAAAATTGTTAAATAAAGTCAAATAAGTTATACATAAATTTTATAAAATATATAGTCATACACTATCACTATGGAATTAAAATGATAGTTTGACACGTGAATATGTTTGGTACAACCTATAAGTAATTTTCTTGCTGATGTGCTGTGTGAATATAACTAAGTCTATCTACAGTGATCAAATATCGTTATCGTTTCAAAACCAGAATATGCATAGCCATTTATACAATTCGAAATATCGCTCCAGTTATTTCAAAGAAAAACAAAAACAAGCAGAAAATGACGCGTTAGTATTAGCAGAGTCAGTTTTGCTTTGGCTGACAAACGAACTTGGATATAGGCACGGACGAAGTGCTTCTATACTCGAGGAAGTGACAGATCAAGAGTTAACGAAGGAAGACATACAAAAGTGCGAATAGCGTTTTTCGCGCTTTCTTTTATGAGATAGCTACATTTTAACCGCGTTTTCTTCATAGACTTTGTAGGAATGAATTTGTTCCTATTCTCAAATTTTTAATGGAACACGTGAAATCTTCAAAGTACAGAATTTAAAATGTGTCTTGGTATATTTATTTGTAATTAATTAATAATTAATTTAATTTGCTCAGGGAAGCTGACCAAATTCGAAAGTCGCTGGCCAAGTAAATTAAGTTGAATATCTTAAATTGTTAAAATATTATAATTAAATAATAATTTCACGCGAATATACATAGCAACCAAGGTCGAATTAAAAAATCTCATCAGACAAAACGTAATAAAGGAACGATATCATCATCTGGATCTTCATTTACCGAAGAGAATCACGCACAACGAAAATTAAAATTAGAAAAAAAACTTGCTCAATCTAATGAGGTTTTTCAAGAAACAGAACAACAAGTAACTCAATTGATTTCACGTATTGCAGACGTTGGTAAGAATTTTTTTTTAGTGATTAATGATGCAAAATTGATTAATTTTGCATTGAATTTTTCCCTACTATAGAATCACAAATTCGATCTGTTAAAGATGAAATAAGTGAAAAAAAAAATAAGATTTATATGAAACAGGTTTTTCGCGAGAATTGTAAAAATTTTATGAACTCTGAAGCTGAATATCGAAAACTCTTGGAAAAGTCTAGATCCAAAGCAGGACCCAAAGATGAATTAAGGTGAATAAATAACAATAATAATAATAATAATAATAGAATTATTATTATTATTATTATTATTAAAAATATTCGTCACGTAAAATAATAGAAATGACATCTTACATTGTCTATTTTCCTTTTAGCTTCGCGCTGAAAGAGGTTTGTATTACATCAATGTCTTCAGTTCCGAAAATGTTACACTAATTTGATACACATTTTTAGGATCCATTAAAGTCAACGTCACCAAAAGCATTGCTTAAGTCTGTGTTAAATGCAATGAGATCGGCAGCTAAAGATTTAAAGTGTGTACACGTGCTATCCTTAATCATTATTCGTATATTATAAAGACTTAATCCAGGATTTAATAATTTGTAGCACAAAGTCTGAGCAGTTTACCGGCGAAAAAATTATTACAGATGATGATTCTAGTCGAGTTCAGCGAATGTTATACGTAGGTATTCAATTTTTATTAAACTTTTTTCAATTACTGCTCTAATACTGCTCTAATACTGTTCTAATGAATTTTCGTCCAAATCCGAAAAGACATTTATGAAAGATCACGCGTCAAGGTTCTTTGAAGTTGAAAAAATATTAAATGATATTATAGAAATCAATGAAAAAATATTGGAAAAGCATGCATCAATAAAGTTTCATGTTGAGCAAAAATACTCACACATCCCATCAATATCGAATCGAATAATGTAACTTTATAAAATATTAAAGCTCATTTCATTTTCAAACCGCGTAAACGTAACCTTGTTTATACCATTAGATCAGTTATAAATGCGAAAGCCGATTCTGAAGCTGCTCAAGCTGCACTTAATATGGCATCTAGTTTTGCCGAAGAGCTTGAAAAACGATGCCAAGAATTAGCGCCATTAAGTGATGAATTAGCAGAAATTGCAGATCGCGTTTCTGGTTCAAATGAAATTATTGTAAGCATTTGTAGAATGTATATTCAAAATATTTTAGTAAATATTTGATTAATGAAAATTATAATTTAGAAACAAAAACAGAAAGACATTCAAAATTTAATTTCCGTCAATCAGCAAACAAGGGAAGGTTTGCTTGAACAGTCTCAAGAGGTAAATTTATAACACATTTTTTAAAAAGCATAAATACTAAAGAAAGCTCATCTAATACCTTTACAATTCATTTTTGTGACAGATATCAAGATTTATACAGGAAGAGCTCAGTCCTTTTAAATTGCATTTTGAATCTTTAACTAAAGATCTTGATTGCTTAATGTTACAAGAGAACGAACAATTTCAGGATTTAGATTTAAAGTTGGCAGTACAAGCCAAATTAAACAAGTAATCTTTTCATTTCTTTTTCATTATTACTGTTCGCACATATTATTAATCATTTAAATATTATATGATATATAGTAATTCTCAAGCCGTTAGTTCCCTTAATATCTACAGAGTGCTTTATGATAAATTTATAGGAGAAATAAAGAAATTGTTACACTGTCCCATGTATTTGGTATGTAAATAAATTAATTTAGAATTTCCGTTTACAATAAATACTAGATTATAGCTGACTTTTGCTAATTTATACGAAGAGCACTGACTGCATTCTTAGGATTTTAGCTGATTTGAAACGTGAAGGTAATTTATTATTATCTCTGCCCTATCATTAAATATATATATATATATATATTAAAATATATTTATACTATTTCAAAACTCTATAGGTGCTGCTTTCGAGATTACGCGAAATAATTTAATCAGGAATATGAACCTTTGCCATAACGAAATGCAGGAGATTGGTATTTAAAAAATAAAAACAACTGCTATTGATCTATTAAAATAATACCTAATATACATAAAATTTAAAATTAGTGAATCGATGGATGTCTTCGATACATAGTGATGTTATAGAAGAATCAGTGTTCAACAAAAATATAACATATGAGCAGACAATTAAAGATATGGAAAGTTCAGTCGAGAGTTTATCGGGTACGTAGCTACCTCTTTTTATTATTCCCTTATTTTTGAAAAAAATAACAGTATGTGACTTCTTTTATGTAGATATATTGGAGAAACAAGAGAAAGAATTTTTTGAAAAACAAATTCCAAGAATAAAAGAGGAAATTGAGAAGAGCGAAGCGGCTGAAAATGTTTATAAAGAAATTCAAGAAATAATCGAGGAACAGTAAGTTTTTCTTCAATTGTTTGATTTTTCTTTAAATTGCTAGATTATCGACACATTATATTTTCATTACAGCAGTAATAAAATCATGAGTGGTGGTCGGATAATCCTTTGAGGAGGATCCTTGACGTAGACCTGGTTGAAGTTTACAATTTATCTTGGATCAGAATAGCTTGAAATATAATTGTTAACGTTAGCGTTTTTTAACGTAAAATTTTTTAAAAAGAAAATAATTATTTTTTTACACACATTTTTTTAAGTTCAAATGAATGGCTTAAAAATTTTATAACAAATATCTGTTACCGTAAACCCAAATATCAGACCCCATGTACTGTACTAGACCTAGCTGTGAAAATCTACAATAGCTAATTGCTGTTTTTTTTTTTTTACCGTATAGACCCGAAATAACGCGCAGGGGTGTAATTTCAAATTTCGGCCTAAATTAGGCTTAATTCGGGCCAAGATTCGAAATAACGCCCCTGTGCGTTATTTCGGGTCTATACGGGTAAATATCCCATTATAAATGAAAAATATGCATGCTTTTTAAATTTTTCCTTCTAATGATACAGACTCCCCGCCATGTACTAGGCCCGGGGTCTAATATAGGTTTTAATATTGGTGAAATGTGAGAGGCCCGGGTTTTTTATACGGCAGTTTGCGGTAATACACAAGTTTACTAATATCGATATGTAGCAACTATTTACATATTTTAATCGATCGTTTGTCTTTTATTTATTTATAATAATTTTATTAGTCAATACAAAGATCTTTGATATTTTAAAATACAGCAATACTGTATACTGTGGCACCCTTTAAATACATGATGGATAATTTACGATACATAACAGAATGGTAAGTAAAAATTCATATCTTGTTTAATAGATAGATGCCTAAATAATATATCAATCTTATAAGGGAGATAAGGCTAGTTCCGCAAGCGCAGAGCACGTTGACCGATTTTTCGGTTATATCTAAGATAAAGGGTAACACCAAATTCTATTACTAACAAACAATTAAATGATCATAAAAAGCCTAACTAGCTTTTAAAAGATTCGATTGATAGTATCAATAAAGAAAAGGCGGAAATTTAAAGGGAAGAAATATAATAATAATCTTCACCATAAATGTTGCCGCACAGTGGTAGAAATCCGATGCCCTATATATTACTAACCTTCAGAATTGGAATCACGTGTATATTAAGAAAAATTTCATCTATTCTACGGTCTCGACTCCACCGACTTCGCCGCAGAGAATCAGAAAGGCAAGTGACCTACCTTTGCATGAAAGTAGATTAAATAAGAAAAAGAAAAAAGGTAGGAATTTTCGCTTCGACTCTGGGCTTTATCCATCCTCAATTTTTTCTTTTTTTTTACATTAATAAAGCTTGCCCTAGTGGCATACATAACCAGTTTACTTTTGATGCTGATACATCACGGCGTATGAAATTAAGCTAAAAATTTGGACACCAAATCCAAGCATTTGATCCCAAATTTAAATTTTAGGTACCAAGTTAACGATATATATTTACAGTACATATACGTACGTATTATACAATTTTATTAAATCAGATAATAAAGATGAGGTTCTGGTTAAAGATATTTCCGCAAAATAAAGATGCAATACAGCCAATTTTATATAAGGTTTTATTAAACCAGAAATATAAAGGTGTGACTTTCAATGCGCAATTTAAGCTAGAATAATTATGAAATATATAAAATTAAAATACATATATACTATATATATATATATATATATATATTATATATATCGATATATGCAAAATATTAATGCGGTTAAACTAGATTTAGTGCTTCGATTAAGCAGGGTCCACTTAAACGAGTATGCACCTTGATTGCTACTCGGTCGTATATACTTAAAAAGCTACGTATGATTGCAAAGATTATGTATAATTCGTAATAAATAAAGAATAAATTATTCAATTTTTTACGATACGTAATAAGCATACATAGCAGAAATTTAAGAAAATATTTTAATGCAGCTATCAATAACGATAAAAAAGGATTATAAATTACTCCACAATAGCCTCATTCTGAAGCTTTGCTGTCTCTTCGGCCGATATAGTGGGAACGGGAAAATCACGATTAGTTCTTTCCAATATTTCTATAACTTCATTATCTTCAGTCTACCATATAAAATGGAAATTTGGTTAAATGTAACAAAAATTCCAAAATAAAGATAGTAAAAAAAGAAACCTACCTGAGTAAAATCTTTATACCACGCTCCAATGCCACCTAAATTCCTTGGCGTCAAAGGACAAATGGTATCATCAACTTCTTTACTCATTTTTTTAAGAGTGTCTGGTGCTGCGACAGGGGCGGCAATGACTATTTTTTTAGGATTGCTGATATAACAAAAATGATAAATAAATGAATTAAATGCAAAGAATGAACGACCGAACTTAATATAGAAATAAATACAGTTTCTTTAGGGATGTGTAGGCAGCTCTCATTGTTGCTCCTGTCGCAATACCATCTTATAAAATAAATTAACATAATAAATATATTGATGAAGATACATAACTATATATAACATATAAAAATAAATACATACCATCAACAAGAATCGTGGTCTTTCCGGTAACATCGGGGGCTGGTTTTCCTTTTCTATACTTTTCATTGCGACGTTGCAGTTCGGCACTCTATTTATGGTAAAAAGATTAAAATAAAAAATGATTATAGTAATGATTCGTTTTTTATTAAATTTACCTCCCGTTTAATAACGCGTTCAATCGATTCTTCATTAATGTGAAGCATAGCGATAATATCTTCATTATATATGGTGGATGTTTCCGTGATGGCACCCATGGCCAATTCCTCATGGCTATAAATTAAAAGCGAAAAGTTTACACACTAATCGAGCCAATATCAACGATCGCCAAATATCCGAAGAAAATTGTCACGTGAAAGCTTTGCGGAAAAGGTAGCTATATTACATTTTATCATACCATTTCCCCTTTACGGAGCATTTAAGCATATGAAAACCTAGGGGAAAAACGCGCAACCATAAATTCCACAAAACACGTGTTTATATTATTTATAAACTCACCCTTCGACACCAATTTTTCTGACTAAAAAGACATCTAAAGGAGCTTTAATGCGTTGTGAAATCTGATAGGCAACGGGTACTCCACCTCTACACAAATATGGTTGTTACTTTTCTTAATGGTGTGATAAATAAGACTTGACTTGTAGATATGACGATAAACATAGATGTACCTTGGTAAAGCCAAAATAATAACATCATTATTATCATTATTATATTTCCTCGCTATTTCATCGGCCAATAGTTTACCAGCATGTACTCGATCCTGCAACTTTTCAAGCATTTTTTACAAAAATTTTTTTAAAAAGTTGCGAAGCAAAGAAACGAAGGCGTTTTTTCATCTTATTTATATAGCATTCTTTAATAAAATTCTTTAATGTAGTCATAATATCCATAATGGTGTAATAATTATGTAATTATGTAATTAACAATATGACATTTATCATGTCATTAAAGATTTTCGCACGATTGTCACGTTATATTAGCCACTAATGCACGTAAAGGGTCTTTGCTTTTTTGGATGCCCATGCGATGAAGCTGGGATACTGCTGGGATCCTGGATTTAGAAAACAAGAATTTCAATACTTCGCATGTTTCGGAATTAAACGGAAGTTATCACTTCCATCTTTAAAAAATTGATGGTTATACAAAAAACTTTATTAAAAACTCGACAAATTGTAAATAAGTTTTTTTACCATCAACTCAATACATTGAAGTATATTAATTAAAATGGACGGAGAACGGAGAAAAGAAGAGTTAGCAAAGAAAAGGCAAAAGCTTGCTGAGCTTAGGCGTGCAAGAGAGGAACGCAAGCAAGTCTTTAGCAATAATCAAGCATCAACAGCAACTGAACCGATTAAGGCCACAGATTTGGTAATCTTTTTTCTTTATATTATCATAAGCTCGTTTGATCGTTGTTTTAACTGCCTTCGTCAATAGGAAAGGGATCGTAAGGATAAAGAAATCGATTTAGATATTCTTGTTAAATCGTTATTAGCTGATAAAGCTGCTGGACGTCCCGGAACTCCGTCGAATGCAGAAGATTCTGATAGTTCTGATAAAGGCCGAGCTGAAAAAGGAAGAAACTTTTCTATTTCTATGCACTCACATTATTCACCATCTCCAAGTACTTCGGTTCCTCCAAGGTTCTTTTTTGACTGTTGAAACGTTTATAGTTATTTTTATTCCATGATAAACTTTTCTCATTAACAACTGCTTCTATATACCACAGCCCTCAAATACCAACACTAAGTGCTCGTTATATTCCCGATTTCTCATCGTTCGATGCTGTTATATTAGATATTGCTCCTAAGGTATTAAGAAACTAAAAATATATCAATATTATGCTAAATTTCCAATTATAGTCTTTAGATTTAAATTGGTTGGCTATTTTAGGAAATAGTTTTATATAGTAAAGAAGTGCAGACTTCTGAAAACTCTTTTGGTCCACCGCCACGTTCAGAGGAGGAAATTCGTACAGATATTTTAAAAGAATTTGAAGAAAAAGAAAGACTTGAACGACTTGCCCAGGAAGAAGAACGGGCGAGATTAGAAGCCAAAAAGAAAGAAAATCAAAGAGTCAAACGTATGATGATTTATTTTTATATTCGCGTATACACATATATATATACATATATATACACGTATTTATAGTAAATATATTATATTTTATATTTTTAACTCTTTTTTTCTTTCTTTCCTCTTTATAAAGAGATAAACGATGATGAAAAGAAGAGAATTATTAATTCAGCTGAATTTGCTGAATTTGTTGACCATACTACCAAAATCGTTGAGAGAGCTCTTAATGAAAATTATGACTTTATGAAAGATTATAGTGTTAGTAAAGATGTAGAAAGGTAATATATCTAGCATAATAATATCGTTATTTCTTATTAATATTTGATATTGATTTCTTTTACTATCTGATTTTTATAATATATAAGTGATGAAAAGACAGGGGCTCGTGTCAAATATATGTGCTCATTTTTTGATGACAGATGGAGTAAAAATCGATCAGTTACTGATGTTAATTGGTCGAAAAAAGTAAGAATTATTCATATGTTTGTACTATTAATTATGATTAGGAACTTTGATCCAAATATTATTTTATTACTATAGAATCCTGAACTTGTGGTTGCTTCATATAATAAAAATCCAATCGCAATGAATGAACCGGATGGAGTTGTTTTAGTGTGGAGTTTACGATTACTTGAACGTCCAGAATTCATTTTCCATTCACAGGTTAGTAAATTTATTAATGTATAAATCCTGTTCTCTTCACATTATCTTACTATTATTTCTATATTATATTACGTATTTAGTCGGATGTACTTACTGTTGCATTCTCAGATTTTCATCCAAAATATGTTATTGGTGGCACTTATTCTGGACAAATAGTGCTATGGGATATGAGAGCAAAATCTTTACCTGTTGTCAGAACTCCTCTTTCTGCCAATGGACATACCCATCCTGTTTATTCTATGCAAATGGTGGGTACTCAAAATGCTCACAATCTCATCACTGCAAGTACGGACGGATTAGTATGTTCTTGGGAATTAGACAAATTACTCGAACCTCAGGTAATTTCTAATTTTTTTATTTGTTTTTGAAGTTATTGGTCTCCTAAATTATTATTTTATTTATAGGAACATTTAGAATTGGTACATTCTGGACATAACAAAACTGATGAGGTTTCAGTTACTGCCCTTGGATTCCCAGATAATGAAACTGCTGCTTTCTGGGCTGGAACGGAAGAAGGTATTGTTTATCAAGCCAATCGATATGGTGGTGCTAGGGGGTGAGTAGAATAAGTATGATCCTTTTTTTAATCATCATATAAAATCAATTTTTTTTAATTAACTTTTTTTATAATTTTCAGCAAAGCTGGCATTAATCAATACGATTCTTACAGAGGTCATTGGGGTCCAATTACTGGTCTTCACTTTCATCCTCTTTTTGGTCCATTAGACTTTTCTGACTTGTTTTTGACATCTTCTGTTGATTGGACTGTGAAATTATGGAGAGCAAAAGTGCGTGAATTAATTTAAATTACTTGTGAATTAAACTCCACAATATTGATTATTGATGTTATTTAATTTTAAATAAAAAAGTCTGTATCAAAACCATCAACAGCTCCGACAGTCATTGCTCCATTACATTCCTTTGAAGGATCAGACGATTATGTTTATGATGTTAAATGGTCACCTTGTCACCCAGCGTTGTTTGGCTCAGTTGATGGTACAGGAAAATTCTCTGTATGGAACTTGAATGTTGATACTGAGGTAATTTCATTTATTATTATACACTTTTCTACTAAGCTGGCGAGGCTAATAGTTGTATGGGAGCTAATAAAATAATAATAATAATAATAATAATCGTAGGAGCCTATTGTAAATACTCAAGTTGGTCAAGGCAAAGCATTGAATAAGATTCAATGGGATAAAGAAGGAAGAAGGACAGCAATTGGATCTTCTGATGGGCGTGTTCATATTTATGATATAGGAGAGGTAAGACAAATTCTTCCTATTTTATTTGATTTCAACTTATTAATTGTATTAACTATATTAATTTGTATAATTATTTTTACAAATCTTTAGTTATGCATCCCGAGAGAAAATGAATGGGCTCTTTTACAAAAATCTGTTTCTGAATTAATTAATACCACTGAAAGTCATAGCGGAAGATATGCACTTGCAAAATAATCTATTATAAACATTTATGCTTTGGCATTTATTTGGCAAAACGGTAAATTGTAAACTATTTTTACTTTGATTAATTCACATTTAAATGATTATTCAGTTTATAGTTATTACTGTAATAAGGAGGGTTAATTGGTTCCGAAAAAGTTAATGAGAAGTATTTAAATTACGTTTTATTGTCGAGATATGCACTTTACGCACGTATAAGCGCGTCTATTGCGTTTTGATGTAAAGAACATTTATAAGATTATCTGTAGGTATTATAATATAGTATTTTTCAGTTTACTTTTTGTTTTTTCTTCCTTTAGAAGGATAAAATAAATTACATTGGGTACTACTGTATGTACAGTATTTAATGATTAATGGAAGGTTTAATGAAAGATGATTATGTGAAAAATTCAAGTTTAAAAAAGTTAGTACGATGTGTAGAAACAAAAATATTGATATCTATTTTTTTTTGATGTATTAATCACATAATTGTAAACTTTATACTGTATAACAGAAAATGATAATAAAAAATTATTATAACAATTTACGATTAGTGTAAAAAGTAAATAAGTTACGTAATCGTATGAAACCACATATATTATTATATATAAGCCTCATTACAGCATTAACTGTTAGCATTAATGGTTCAATAAAATTTTGCAGCGAATCATGTGTGCGACAAATTAATTAAAGAACTAATTATCCAATTAAATTTAGCTTAGGTTTTGTAGCCAATAAAAAATTAAACGTGTGTGCTCCCAATTCCAATTCATATTGGAAAATAAGAGTTAGACTAAACCATGACATCAAATAAGGAGAAACCTGGAGTTGGCGTAGCAGGAGGACATCTGGCGACAAAACTGAATAAAATAAAATATTTCAACTTTCTTAGTGACCTCGATCATGAGCAATCAGGCGCGAGCCTCACGCCATGCTTCTGGTATATTACCTTCTAAACAGTTTTTTGCTCCAAGAAAGCCAATAACGCAAAATGCATCACGAAGAAAGTCAACTACCCTTTCGGTCATAGTTAATTCTCCAAGCACACCCTCGCTACCCATATTTCAAACTGCGACATCAGCAACAACACCTACTAAAGCTCCTTTCTCTGCACTAAGCTCTCCAGTTTTAAACATCCAGCCAGAGGAAGAAGTCTCTCTTTTACAGCAACCTTTAAATGCTCTTTCTAGCGTTACAACCACTATTCCTTCAGATCCAACAAAACCGACTCTTGACCAATCACTTAATGCTATATATAGTTCCGGTGAATCGCAGGGCATTTCGGTTCGTACTTCAGCTATTCGACCGCCGAATGCTATTCTTCGACATCAGCAAAATCAAGATGAAAGTGAGGATTTCTCATATTCTGCTATTAATTCGGTTCTAGAACCAATAGCGCCTGCTGTAGTTTTAGAGCCATCTTCATATAAACAGATTCGGCACGGAGCTGGTTCTAATCTTTTGTCTAGGGATTTTGCAACTGCTACATCTTTTTCGAGGCATTCTGATAGTGATTCATCAGGAACATTATCTACTCAATTACAAATGATTCCGCAAAAGAAACTTACACAAACAAAACCCCCTGTCAATACTTCTCCTTACGCATCGATTGCCAAATCTATGCCTCGAATTATTTATAATCCTGCTTCAATATCACATGCAGATAGTAAAGGACGTAAACGGCTTTATCAAGTTTGGCCTGGAAGAAATCGCTTTTTTTTGGGTGGAAGAATAATGACTAGTAGAGATTTTCCTGCTTTCTTAGTTGCTTTTTCTGCACTTGTTGTACCATCAGGCCTCTTTTTGGCATTTACGTTGGTATCTTTATTTTATTATCATTCATTATATATGCGTTGTGCCCAGATGTCAATTTGTTCCAAATATCAATTGACCAAAATTATCAGCATAAGCAAATTAATTTAGGCAGGGCGTTTAGCTAAATTTTAGTAAATTGATATCTGGACCGTCCCAATTGACAATTGGGACAAATTAGATTTAGGGCACAACATATATATATATATATATATATATATTTTTTAATATTTTCTAACTTAATCCTAATTTTATTTTTATCTCTATTATTAAGGTGTCCATATCTTTTTCATAATATTTCACCGGCTATAGTTTTTGTATTCGCTTATTTATTTTTGTTGGCTCTTACTAGTATGCTTAGAACTTCTTGGTCTGATCCAGGGGCAGGTGTCAATTAATTTTATTTATTTGATTAAATTTTATTATTGACAAAGCAATGACTAATTTATGTAATTTATGTTTATTTTAGATTATTCCACGTAATCTTGATCCTTCTCCTCCAACAGAAGATTTAGATGATCCCGAGAATAATGCTCAAAATAATCCAAATAGCCCTTATTATCCAACGCGAAGCGTTCCCCTTCCAAAAGAAGTTAATATTAATGGTCAATCTGTTAGATTAAAATATTGTGAGACATGTAGGATATATCGACCTCCAAGATGTAGTCATTGTAGACAGTGTGACAATTGTGTTGGTTTGTTAAATAATATTTATGTAAATTTTTTATTATTCTGATATTATTTACTGATTTCTTTTATTGACCTACAGAAAATGAAGACCACCATTGTATATGGTTAAATAATTGTATTGGAAAACGAAATTATAGGACATTTTTTACATTTATTGCTACAGCAACAATATTATGTATTTATGTTTCAGGATTCTCGTTAGTGCACTTATTTCTGTTAATGAAAGAATATGATCTCAATTTCATTTCTGCGATAATGGCTGCGCCAGTCAGATATCCTTTTACTTTCAATATATAAATTCGTATTTATACTGTATATACATTTGATTCTTCAATATTTCCTTAACATAAAATTACTTTTGTGTTAGCCGTTTTATCTTTTTTTCTGATGTGGTCTGTTGGAGGATTAACGATGTATCATATGTATTTAGTAAGCAAGAATTTGACCACGCATGAACAGGTAATTGTCCGACTATGAGCATATTGCAATATTTTGATGTATATTATGTGATATATTAATATTATTTTATTTATTAAAGATCCGTATCCCATTGCCACGAAGAAATGGCACTAGAAATCCCTTTGATTATAGAAATGTAAGCAGAAATTGTATGGGAGTGCTTTGTCGACCCTTAACAAAAAGGTTTGTATATTCTTTCAAATTAATACAGTTATTCTTCTCTTTACCCACATACTTCTTTTGTATTTTTAAGCTCGGTAAGCCGGAGAGCTTATGTCGTGGAAGAAATTTTAAATTTAGAACAAGGAGAAGGTGTTTTGAACGATCAAAGAACGTCACAGCAAACAACCATTAACAATACAGAACAGAATACAGAATTGAACACAAAAGTGAACACAGAACTGAATACAAACCTTAATACTTACAATACAGAACCTAACATAACAGAAACTCATGAACAAGTATAATTCAACACTACTACTAGTCTTGTATAATAATTTTTAACCGATTGTCATTTTAATTATCACTATAATATAATATTCTTCCACATCTTGCAATATAACACTCAATTACAAAGTTACAAACGGCAAGTTAAAGAATTTAGATCGAATATTTGACTTATGGCAATTGATGTAACAATGTTTATAAAATTATATTTGTTAATTACACCGATAATCCGATAATTCATCTATTTAAACAATATGGTTAACCCAATTTTTATAACACATAAACTAGGAATAAATAAAATGATGAATTTTAAAAAAATTTTGATCCTCATCTTGATACGATTTTCACTTCATAACAGACAGTTATATGCATTTATTGGTTTAAATAATATTTTAATGCTAATAAAATATATATCTCAATTAAAAAAAAAACTAACAAAAAAGGCCCAAAAAATTTTAAAAATCAGACATAAAATAAAATAAATTTCATTATGATCTGCCACACTTATAGAATCGTCGCGCTTATGTTGTCGGGCGACTCTATTGCATAACTAATCACAACGCAATAAAGACTCAAATCATGAGATTAGTTGACCAATGAGATTTAATCAAATATTCTTGGAAGCCAAAACGTTGACGTTAATCAACTACGCAATAAATCAAAAACAATAGTTTTTTTAATTTATCGCCATAGCGTTCTATGTGGAGTTTCAAACCGTGCTTACAAATTAAGATTAATGATTTGTAAGCACAATTTGAAGTTCTGCATATCTGATATAGGACGCTATGGCAATGAATTATAAACTGCGAATAATTTATAGGTTTTGTTTTAATAATAAAATATATGAAATTTTTTTAAAAAAAACTGTAGTTCAACAATGATAGAGCCATTTTACGATAACTATTAATGAATAAACCTTGATTAAATATTATTAAAAGTTATCGCAAAAATGGCTCTATTAAATTGTAGAGCTAGTCTTAGCAATAGTATTGCACGAGAAATCGCAGTAACAGACCAGGCAGGAAATTAAATCATATGGGCCAATTTTTTTGATTTCTGTAGATCCTTGTCTATCAAAACACTCAAAATTGCCTTATTTGGGTTTA